GTTAACTGCCTCTCTTGCTAACATTATGTATATTTAGGCCCCTCTTTGTTTCCTTCATTGCTTCTTGGTTATTGTAAGGCAGATGGATTCCATAAGTACAATTCTTATATTCCAAAAATGCTGCCTTGGCAAAGGGATTCCTTAGTGCTCAAAAATTACCTGCATTTATTCACCCAAGGGACAGAAGTACTGCAAGAAGCCTATTAATCAAACAATTACTTTTCTGGTTAAGCAATTTTCCAATAATCAGCTTTGACTGATCTCTTAGCAAAGCAATAGCACTGTTCACTAACCAGCTCAGCTACATAATCTAGGGACAAATCATAGAAGTCAAAGAAACCTGTGGGTCAGTTTTAAAATAGTTTTAAGCAGAAACCGGAAGGCAGGGATTTACTGGGGTGAAATGTGTTATTGGTTGATTAATTACAAATCCATTACAGGTAAAAGGATCTAAGTTCTAAACTGTGGGTTAAAAGCCCTCAGCCATTAGCTGGATGCACTTGGTTTCTCTTTGAGATGGTTGAAAACTACAAAACTGAGCTGTGACTTGCAGGGTTTCCTAGATTTAGAGAAATTGGGATTCAATTGCACTTCTTTCACATTTATAAAGTATTTTTTTTCTTTAATTATAATATCACAGTACCAAGACCTTTTCAGAGGGTGTTCTTTTCTGCACTATTTACTTTGAGCCAGTTCAAAGTATTGAATTTGCTCATACAGTTGTGTTTGTTGGTAAATGGTCAAATGGAGGAAAAGGTAGTCTAAAGCAGCATCCACTGCAATCGTTCTAAACAGGCCACAACTGCAGAGAAGGCTGCAGGTTCATTATGTGTCCCGCACACTCTTAGCTTTCTCCACATAGTGGTCTCATCAGCCAGTTTTTATTGTGGGCATTTAGCAGGCCCACACCCACAAGGAATGTTACTAAGGGTTCCTGCTTATGAGTCAACTAGACATAGACAAATCTGTCGATTTTTCTTTCCTTTCCATTTGAATATATTCAAACCTCAAGTTCTTTCTATCTTGAATACAGAGACCTGTACATTTTAGTAAACTGCTTCATGAACGTTTTTATGGAACAACACTAAGTGCTCCCCCCACCATTCATGTTCCTCTGAATTCAACCTGCTACAAACCATGGAGTTCACCTCTAGTCTGCTAGTCATTACTATTATTGACCTGAGTTTGCACTTTGTCCCTTTATGGCCAAACTCAGCAGAAAATGTGAGACATCTGCTAGGAATGAGAGGCTGTTGAAGGCCCCCTCAGTAACCTCTCACATTGTTTCCTCTATTGCTATCCTTGTTGTGTGCCATCAGGTGGTCTTCAACTTATGGTGGCCCCATGAATACATACTCTCAGAAATGTCCTGTTCTCAACAGCCCTGCTCAGCTCTTGTAAACTCAGGGCTATGGCTTCCGTTATGGAATTGATCCATCTTATGGTTGGTCTTCTCCTGTCTTCAACTCCCCCTCACATATTATCTGCTCCAATGATTCTTGCTTCAGCATAATTTTTGCCTCTAGGGAAAGCTCTGGGTTAATTTGCTGAAGGCCCCACTTGCTCATCTTTCTGTCGGTCGAAGGAATTCATAAAGGTTTCTTCAGCACCACCTTGCAAACACATCCATTTTCTTGCTGTCAACTTTCTTCACTGTCCAGCTTCCATACCCATAGATAGTGATTGGGAATACAATCATGTGGAGGATCTTGGCTTTAATTTGCAGTGAAACCTCCTTACTCCTGAGGATCTTTTCTAGTTTTCTCATTGCTGCCCTTCCAAGCCCCGGTCTCCTGATTTCATAGCTTCAGTCTCTTCCTGAATGGATGATTGAGCAAAGATATAAAATCTTTCACAATTTCAATTTTAACATTTGCTCTGGAAGTTGCTTTTTATAAACTAAGGCACTTGAAGCTGAACATTGTTATGCGGTGGCAAAGGGGAAAACATTGTATCCCTGTGTGTCCAAGGACACTGACCCTTGTTTTGGCACATCTGTGGGCAGAAGAGGACTAGGAAGTCATACTCACATGACCTTTCTTTCCTAAGCATTGACCAAAACCTAAAGTTTGCTCTGCTAACCATCCGCTAATAAATATGAATCTTCACTAGGCATGGAAATACAGTCCAAAGTAAAAGTAAAAGCCCAGCAGATGTTCATACAAGCCATGGATTCAAGCAGAGAAAGGTAGAGCTGCCAATTCTCATTGTCTGCTCTGGGCACAGTTACTAGCCTATCCAGGGGAGCTTACTCAGGGCAGAACTGTGAGCACAGGAAATCCAACTTACTGAGAGGGTGTGCCTTCATCCAGAAGGTACCTGATAGCAACAGAAGCTGAGCTCAACTTCTAGCTGGTAAATCTCTTCACTTTTGTTAGGGATTATATTTTCACCCATTGTTTTAAAGTTGCTTTGGCTGAGTCTAAAGAAGGTATGTCCAGCTCCACTTTTGTAAGTGTTGTAAGTGTTGAAATGTACATTATGAAAGAGGGTTGCATTGGGTTTTTTCCCTTTCCCTGCAAAATAAATGCCAGGCTTTTTGAGCCATGAAAACAACTTCTGCTTCACTCTTGGCAAGCTGAAACATTTCATGCTGCAAATGCTATAGTCCAGCTTCTGCAGGGCAATAGTGACCTTTGCCAATGTCTCCTCCACTTAGGAATTTGAGGCACAGCTTGGAATCCAAAATCACACTTGTTTCATGGTGTTAAATGTCCTCCCATTATCACTTGAGATCAGACACAGGTTCTGCCAGTGCCTGGCATGAGACATCATGAAATTCCTGTTCCAAGAAGACCTGCTTTTCTACCAGTTTCTGCCAAAGAAGGAGTATAGTAACCCTTGTAGCATAGACTTGTAAGATGATCCAGACTTCAGTCCAAGCTGCCCACTTGTGAAGGCTTCCAATTCCCTTCTCTGGAACTGACAGTGGTTCAACACACCCTAGACATGTATCAGATATATGCAGCGGCATATTAATTGCTCTGTATCTGCTCTTTTATTAAGTTGTTTTAAGCAGAGGATCTATACACATAGCTACCAACTGGTACTGGAGACCAACTGCATCCTCTTATGTAAATTAGGAACATAAGCCTGCTCTGGAACCCAAAATATATATAGCTGTGTGTATTTTAGAACCTGCTCCTAACAAAGAGAAGATTTCTGATTGAAACTTGTGACACAGTAACAAACATGCATAAAAACCAAAGAATCAGAGCGCCTCAGCTTAGCGTCTGCCAGATGTATTTATTTTCGGTTTGAATAAATTAGAGAAGTGGCCCTTAGTTATTTCCTAAAGAGTTTGCTGCTAGTCAGGATTATTTCTGTACTCCATTACTGTGGGAGAAAATAAGTATAAAATCATCAAATGTTTCACATTCTTTTTTTATCAACCGCTCCCCCACAACTGTCTATCGCTTTTTTTTTTAATTTGACATTTACTATTTAGAGTGTCACATTCACTACTAATACATGCTTTGGGGGAAAAACACCTTGCCCAACATGTGTTTAATGAGATCCAAAGTTAAGCCTGGCAAAACAGATTTGTATTGTTGCTACTTTGCTGAAATTTAGAGAAGCACTTCAGTATGGCATTAGTGAAATAGATAATCCTGTTTGATAAGGTCTAGGTTTCCCGCAAATATATTCTCATGTGCTTAAATCTTCTTGTAGTGAAAATTGCATCTCCATGGGCAAAAGGATAGTTCTGAAGGCTGTCTCACTGCATCCTGTGAGAACCACTTCTGTCAGGAACGAACTAAGCAAGGGAATGGGGATCTGTGATCAGATTTCTTTTTGTTAAATGTCTTTTAGAAGCTACCACAGAAGGGGGAATGGGCTGGATCCAGGCTGCAGTGCTGATTCAGGGGAGTAATTACTTTCTTGTCACATTGTTGATGCAAAAACCTCCCCCAACTTCTTTTTGCCAGATTGGGAAAACCCTATGGGTAAATGTACATTTTTCCATGCTGGACAAGTGGCAGCTTGAGGGGCATATTTTATATAGAATAAAAGCACTAAACATTTTAAATCTCATATTTATATCTATCTCACTATGTTTCCACATTTGATGCTAATGAGGTTGGGAAACTTGGAAATATTGGGTTTTTTTCAGATACCTAAAATGAAATACTTTAACAAAATGTTAGTAATACACAGAATGACTCCTGCCCCGCTATGGTTGAATCACACTCTGCATTAGAGCAAATTAAGGGGCCAATCCAAAAAGTTCAATGGAATGAACAAGCACAAAGGATGTGATCAGGCTAAAGTGGAAGTGGTCAAAACAGAAGCAAAGCTCAAAGCAGTTAAGCAGGCATCAGTGGTCAAGCAGCAGTGTAAGGGTTAGTAGCACAGAGGATCAATCCCAAAGCCTGGTCCAGAGTACAACATGCTAGAACTGAAAAAATAATGTTGCTTCTGCCCTGGCTAGGCCAGAACTGAAAATGTGTGTAGCTGGAGCTGGAGCTTCCTGAGTTTCACTTTTGCCATCCTACTCAGGAGAAGGCCTTTCCTCCAGAGGAGTTTCCCTTTGTAACCCAACACTTACTCTCAGAAGAGTCCTCCTGGCCTACAACTATGGTGTCAGGGCTCTACCTCTGTCATCACAGAGGTCTGAGACTTCCCCTCATCTCCTGGCATGGTATTGTCTGTTTCTAGGAGCTGTTGCTCCTTAGAGGGGAAGGATTCCTCTTGCGATTGGGATCAGGGCTTGGACACTCTCACCTCTGAGCTCTGACATCTTCCTGCCTCCCCCCGCCCCCGCCAATTAGGGATGATTGGAAAATGTAATCACTGCAAATGTTGATAGGAACAGGTCTGAGCAGTATCTCCCAGACCAGTGTGTGGAGACTGGAGCTTTGTTATCCGACAGTCCTTCTGCTTACAGATCTTACAGTGCAGTTCTCAGCTCCAACCCTGTACTTTAACATGTGTAATTTGAGAAACAAGACGACTTCCTAATACTTGTCCATCCGTTTGTCTTTTACTTTTTCTTGTAGTTATTGGTTGACCAACAAAGTTTACATCAAGCGGCCCAGCACAGGACTCCTCATGTACACCCTTGCTACAAGATTCTGTGATGAAATTCACCTCTACGGATTCTGGCCCTTTCCAAAGGATATAAATGAGAAACCAGTCAAATATCATTATTATGATGACCTAAAGTATCGATACTTTTCTAATGCCAGTCCACATAGGATGCCATTAGAATTTAAAACTTTGAGTGTGTTACATAGCAGAGGAGCTCTTAAATTGACAACGGGGAAATGCGTACAGCAATAAAGCACATGCTGAGTACAAAGAGAGGTGCAGGATATGGGCTTCATCATTCAGATTTTCCAGAACTGGAGAAGACTCGAAGCAATGGATAGATCCCAGTGCACTGCACCAAGCCATTGGAGAACAAAGAAGTGCATCAGAACTATATTACCAGCCAACATTTTACCTGTTGAAGTGCTAAATCCTGAGTGCAATGGTTCGAGCAAGTGCCACTTTCACTATGAACAAAGCTTGAATGTAAAAATCAGTAGTGTTTACAAGCTCCAATGATGCATTCATCACCCGTTAAAGAAATAAAAGTTCATTTACTGCTCATTTGCCACCACAAAGTCAGGCACCATATGAATAAACACCCAGGAGGTGGAATCTGCCCTTAAGGAAATAAAAGCATCTGGCAGCAAAATCCATGGTGGAGTTGGTAGAGCAGGGGATAACATCAGCAAGAAACCTTCAGTCAGGGGAATGCCTGGCTTTGTATTATAACCTCCCTCTCTTTCCTCGTTTCCTGTTTTTAAAATTGTCATTCATTTTCTATGGTGTTTGGGTATTGAAACCCCTTAAGGGATTTTGAAAAGTTAATACTGCAGACATTTTAAGTAATCTTTAAGAAGTGGTCTTAGAAGAATATCTTATTTTTTACAGAAAAACCCAGATACTGTAAAATCTGTATTGTATTTTATTGTTCAGCTTATGCTTGGTATATATGCATTACAGCTGCGACTGCCTCCTGGGATGACTTCCTATAGAACAGAGAACAGGCGATCACCAGGTTTGACTTCTGCAAGCCCTGGAGATTCTCCATACCAGCACTAGCCACTGCCAGGAACGTGCCCTACTGGCAAAGATGGTGCATAAGCACTCAGTTGACACATAATGGATGTGGCAGTCATCTCACTGGGGCTGTTTTGAGCAGCAGAACTTGTAGACCAGGGCAGAGGGTCTCTCGATTGCAGTGGGTGCTTCTGTGAGGACAAAATGGCATTTTGCAATAAACATGCCTTTCAAAAAGCGCTCATTCTGGCCTCGTTCATTCTGATGAAAAAGATGCTACGGTGCTGCAATCCAGAATGGAAGCACCTTCCTGATTGGGCCCATGTGCCAAATTCCTGCTGAATCCCATCTGCACCCCCACTCACTCAGATACATACAGTAGCTGCTATCTGCTCCTTTCCTGGTGTTTGCCACAAAGAGCACTTTGGGGGTAGAAATAACAGGCAGGAAGAGAGCCACAGGAAATTAATGTGGGGCCTCATATCCAGATCAGGAATGTATTCCATATCAGGGCCCCAAAACTGCTTTTTTCATAAGGGAAAACTGGCTAGTTTAAACATGCTTTGAAATGGTCTGTTTATTGTTTCGTGTTCTTTGGCCTAAGGCTCAGCCTTAAACAGAAGTTAAAAATGTGAAGCTTGCCCTAATGTACAAGTTAAACACTCTTCAAAAGATCTGATGTTTTGAGCTGTTTTAAAAGAATGATTGTTCTCTCACCTGGCAAATGAAGATGATACCATTAACAAGCAGGTGCCCTTACATTTGGTACCAAAGATTATGCTGATTTTATAACTGATGTTGTTTATTTTCCTTCTGAGGATGAAACATGTACATTTACTACTGTGTTTCTGCGCTGCTGAGCAACTTGTTTTCAGCCATCCTTGTTTCTTGTTAACCTGCTGTCTAGATTTGCTTGAATGACAAATTCCTTAACCTGACTTTGCTCTGATTATGTACACCTTGAATATTTTAAACAGAGGTGCTTTCCGTCTTACAAAAATTGGAATGCAGCCATAATCTCATTTAATCAAGACAGGATAAATCAGAAATAAGGTAAATGCAAAGCATTGAATTCAATTTAGTTGCCACATAAAATATTAGTCTCCTAATTCCCAAGATACATATTATTTGCAGTGCTGAACAACATCCCATTTTTCCTATACTATGATATTCTGATAAACAGCTGATGAGAATACCATGTCTGAGCTCCTTTGGTTTTCCTCTTCTTTCAATCTCCATTTTCTTTTCTTATTTGGAACAAGTTCTATTGCTGCTTTTTTGCTCTGAGTATATATGAGAATTATTAATGGCAGCAGTGCCGTTGAGGAGGGTTGTAAACAGAATGGTTGCAAACCTCAAAAGATTGGGAGAGTTTCAAAGTACAATTAATGAGTGATTCCAGCATTGCAGTGGAAAAAGAAATTAAAGTGTGATCTCTTTCTCTCCTCATTTATCACAGAATTTTGCCATTTTAGTAGGAGCAAAAGAAAAACACTGATGCAAAGCAAACAACCAGTAGATCTTCATTGGATCTCATGGAATGGAGTATATAGGAAAGGGTAGTTTGTGCCATTTTGTCGTACATGGAAAAATCTCGAGCACATGCAAGAAAATGCTTCAGTTCTGGTGTTTACTGAAGCTGTTCTAAGTTTCAATTTTATATCATGTTGTATTAGAATGTGGGTTATTTTTAATGTGGAAGAAATTGAAGCTTGGAGCTGGGCAATGCCTCCTGTCTAAGCACAACCATTCTTGTAACAGACCCTTTCCAACTTGGAAGCCACCTTTCATCCCAACTTATATTCTATATTGTTTTAGCACTGTGTGTGACAGGACATGTACACATGCATCCATCTACCTCTGTACATCTCCAAAAGGTTGACATGGTGCTGTTTTAAAGTCATAGCCCACTTGTGGATCAAAGCATACCAAATGAAAACCAGTGATTAATCTGAGCCTACTACTAGTGAATTATGGATGCATCCTTGCCTGCTGGGTCAGGCCAGCAATATATCTAGTCCGCGGTGGCCAACCCAGCAGGTTTGGGAAGTCCATAAGCAGGATGTGAAGGCCTTCTTCCCTCCTTGTTCCCCAAGAGCTGGCATTCAATGTTTTGACACTATATAATGTAACTTGTTGGGACATCATATACTTGATAGAAATGACAAATCCATAGGGAAAAATGATAAGTGTAAAATCCCTTGCCCACCATAAAATCATGTTAATAAAATAACACCCATGGACTTAAGCAACAGGAAGGGTGAGAACAGTGCCGTCCAGAATCCTAGAGGACTTGGTTTTAAGATTAAGGCATGTATTTCTTCTCTGTGTTTTAGATAGGGGTTATAAGCCACCATTTGTTTCAGGGAGACCCATTAAATGCCTGCAAATCCATATCCGGTGAGGTCAGTGGATAATTTTTAACATTATGTCTTTCATGGGGTTTTCTCACTAAATAAGGTTGACCTTCCTCATAAAAGACCCCAGCTCAAACTTATGGCCATGCATAGGTTCACCTGTTTCAGTGCAGCAAGAAAACAGATGTCTCCTTAATGTAATGCAATTTGTTGTAACTGTATAATTTTTAGTCCATAAGAAAACTTTAAAATGTTTTCATAGGCTGCTTGAGATTCATTTTTACCGTTATTCAGAACTGTTTCTGAAACAGAACAGTCTAATCAGAATACAATGACAGCACATACCAGTATAATCTTACACACATCCATTTTAAAGAAGTTAAGATTAGTGCCTTTATCATCTTCTCACATAACTTAATCCTGATCCTTAATTCTCATTTGTCTGTTTTCACCTCTTCAGGCTTTTCCTCCATGTCCATAACCAAGAAAGGGCTAAAATATTTGTTATAACCACTTTTATGTTTTCCATCTCAGGGAAATTTCAGTTTTCCAGTGTCATTACAACAGAAAACATTAACTGTCAAGAATCGGTGAATAGCACGATCATTTTATAGCACGCTACACGAAGGAACGTAGGTTTTCTCTTTAATTAGAATAAAATGTATAGAAACAAGTCCCATTGAATGCACTGAGACTTCAGAAGAAGCATGTATAGATTGGACTGTAAAAGAAATGGGTGATGGATATGAATTATTGAACCTGACTTAAAAGACAGAAAAGTCCGCTACAATATGATCCTGCAGTGGTTGCTGAATCCTGGCTTTCAGGTCTTGCATCCAATTCACTGGAGATTTCAGATGACATTGCCTGTAAAGCAGAATGTCACAACAATATGTTTATGGGCATTGCCGTCTTGCCTGCTTCCCTAACCTCTTTTGTGTATAATAACCAGAGTCTAACATAGAACCATCCTTTGCTGCTTTTTGTTTGTCAGAATCTGTTGCTTTTGGAGATTTTCAGATACCTGAAAATTCAGACGTTTTCCCTGAATGCCAAGAGGACACGGGGGAAAACTTTTTCTCAGATCCTGCCATGTGTCTTTTCCTTGAGCATTCTGTTATTTCTGTGTTACGAAAACATAAGGCAGTATCCAGTTGGATCATCCTCTTAGTACACTGTTGTGCTAGCAGAAACTAGATTCTCTACTGTACTCAACAGTAGAATCCATCTAAAGATACATTGTGTAAACATGTCTGCACAAATGTTATGGACAAGAGCTTGTGCAACTGAGAGATTCATCAGAGCTCTGTGAGCACTATTTGATTTTGCAGAATAACATCATTCGCTACTGCCCTGGGTACCTTTTGAAACTTTCCTTTCTGAGATTTAAGAGGAGAAAATATTCTGCACAGAATATAATAAGATTGATATCATATCATAAACTTGATATCAATGGGAATATACCTACACACACTCTCTCTTATTCACTCATCAAGTTGTGAGTTACTTATGTTCAGATATAAGTAATTATTACTATTTTGTTCTATCCATTTTTTCCATACTATATTTTGTTGCCTGGTTGCTACCAGAATATCTGCTCTGACATGGGCCAGCACTATCTACAGCATTCATCTAGTGGGCAAACTCTGATGCCTTAATAAAAAATATGGGAAGAGAGTCATTATAAATGCAAAGTAAGAAAGGGAATTTGTTTTCATTCAGATCACTTTTCTTGTGAATGTTTGTAAATCATGAATCAGTGTTTTATAATTCATGACTGTTTCCTTTGGAACGCTACAGTCCCTGATATTGATGAAGATAGATGTATAATATATTTGCTTTTCTCCTTTAAGATAATTTGTTTTCTCGTATTACCTTTCTAAAATGTGAAATATACTCAACATTTCAATTGATCTTGGGGCCTGTTTGGATAGTGCTCAGTTGTACACTGCCCACAGAAATATACCATTTAAAAATTACTATAGGTTGGACCCAGACATAGCCTTGCTTAGAGTAGACCTAATCCTGGATCCAAAGTACTGGAGTTGTGCCTGATCTAAGTGGAAATGAATGCATTCGCAGATGGTTTTCAATTTGGAGACAAAGAGACATTCACATGTTAAATACCATGCTGAAAGTCTATCAAGATGAAGCTTTTCAGTGGTTCACATCGTAACAACTTTCCATAATGGTTACAAGTCCCGTTGACTTCAGTAAGCATGCAAAATGTGTGGCCTCTTGGGATCTTCCGTTTAGGCTGAGATCTGGTGAGGTAACTTCAATCCAGACTAGCAATCGCACATATTTAGCAGAGTTTTTCATTCCATGTATCTTTCAACGCCTCCTCTGCTGAATTCCCAATGTGCGTTCGCGCTCTCTTTTGTAAATTAGATGAATGTGGAGGAAGAGGTGTGGTTCCCCAAAGCCCTGTTGCAACCAACGATCCCTATCCTGTTCTGGTGGGGTGGGGGTGGGAGTGGGGCAATTTAACTAGGTCCAGCATTAATCTTTCCTGGGGGTTGCAAAGTTCAAGCACATGGCTCAGCCCCAAGACACGTTCGTTCAATATTTCCTCCTGTTGGGTAGAGATGGTGTACATCCCGATCATGGTGCAATGTTGTGCAATTTCACTTTCTCTCTCTCTCTTCTCTCTTTAGAAAAGAGCACTGTTGTCCTGGATAGGCAAAAGCACAACTGTTTTAACTGTGTATGCTGGAGGAAGTCCGTTTGCATTAAACAGCCTTCCTGAATAATACGCTACTGCTATGGAGCATAGCCAGGTCCCATTTGTGTGCACTGTTGAGATGTATTCTGTCGGAATCATCTTGTCTGATGCTGTTAATATAATTTGTGTACAGGAGTTGATGTTTAATTCTTTGTTACTTGTACAACCTGTAAAATATATTAAACCTTTTTCCAGAAGCGTGTTTTTGCTCAGATTTTGTATCCTGTTTCTCCTTCTCAACAGAGCTACAAGCAAATTTCATTTAATTTCATGAAAAGGAAATATAGTGGGATAGATTTCAAAAGAAGAGATCTTAGAACATTTCTGTGTGATTTTAAATTCTATTGAATTTTAAGACATCATATATAATGAAATTACTGCATTTGTCTTCTTCTTGTTAGTTGCGAAGTCAAATCCGACTCATTGCGACCCCATGGGCAACATTCCTCTGGGCCGTATTTGTCTAATTACAACCCCTAAGCTGGTCTTCTATTTGCGGGGGGGGGGGGTCACCTAATCAAATAAAATTAACGTATTTCTCCAGCATACACAAAAGTTCCATAAATTCAAATTGCATCCTTGATTTAATAGAGAAGATGCTAGATCCTTCATAGAGGACGCTAGATTTCAAAGACTTCTGTGACATGGGTCTATTCTGAATATGACTAAGTCTGGATCCTGCCCATCCCTTCTCACCATATATTTCATGCATTGATATTAGGCCATCTTCATAAGCCCCTTAAAGGGCTGCACAAGCATAGCATCTTCTGTGTAAAGAAATGAGACAGCTGTTGCATGTGCTTACTCTGTACATACTTGTTTTAGGATTTCTGCAGTAAGGCTATTTAACACATACCTGAATAGCTCAATGTGACCACTGGGAGGATTTGTAGACAGTACTTTATTTCTATTTCTAGCAATGCAGTGACAGTTTAATAAGCTGTCTAGGCCAAGTCTCTCCAGGCAATATGCCATTCCTATTCTTGGTCATGACTATTTATTTATTTATTTAAAATATTTATATGCCGTCCTATTCGCAAAAAAGCCTCAGGACGGCTTGCAATATAAAATATAAATAACATAAATAAATTCCCGACCCACACTGGCTGCAATTAAAAACATAGAAAAGACAATATTAAAACTTATTAAAATACCTCTGGAATAAAAAAGTCTTAACCTGATGCCGGAAAACAAATAACCATGGGCATTTGACAGGGCATTACCAGTTGATGCTGTTCCATTGAACCAGAGGGACTTCTACTCTTTCAGAGTCAAATGAGTCCTTAGAATGAGTTTTTACTTGGGGACGGATAAATGCTATTCCTGAAATGAAGACTTCTGTTCCTTAGTATCAAGTCTGGATTTGGGTGGGACATTTCTTTATTGTCCTATGAAAGGAGTGTAGACTCTCATTCAGTCTGAGACCAAATTCCATTCATGTTTTCTGGGCCGTGGTCCACTGGTGGGTGGGGCTCCTGGCAAAGGGCATGGGGCTAGAAGAACTTGTAACCAGGCCTTGCAAAAGGCATTTCACGCTTTTAGAATGAGGGGAAAAAAAACTGCACAGTGGCCAGGAAACCATCGAACAATCATTGATCCAGGGAAAAGGATAGGGCCAGGGGGAAAGAGTGTGGCTTTTGGGGGAACCATAGAGACCTAGATTGGGACCACAATCCCAGGGATCTGTCTCTGTTCTGCGAACATATTTGTCCAACATAACTGCTTCTTGTACCAAACAAGAAATATACCTACATGTGCTGTTCTGAGTACATTTTAAAATTTAGTATTAAAACCAGTTAAGAGCATAGAATCATAGAAAAAAAGCAAGTCAGAAGGGGTCTCTCAGGACACCTAGTCTGAACCTCAGCTCCAGCCAGCTCCACCCATGTAAACTCCTTTCAACTTGATGCAGAACCAGCTTTGTGACAATTACACAGTTTTTTAGCATGTGTGGAAGCAAAGCATCTGTTCTCTGGACAGAACTTTCCCAGCTTGTAAAGTTTCCACATGTAGGACAATGGTGCCATGGACATGCCCTTGATTTCACTGGTTTCTGGGCATTTTGGTGCTAACCCCAGCACTAGTCATGGCTTAGTCAACAGAAAAATTACAACCGGGAACAAGGTATGTTTGTTGATCTAGATGGGGAATAGCAACCACATAACATGTTTGCAAGAACCAATCAAAAAATCCCAAGAGAAGATTCAAAGGAAAAGCTTGCTCCATCTAATCACATACTTCACACAACTCTGAGTGAATTTCAAGAGTAAGAGAGTTTCCATTAAAGAGTGCATGTACCTGCATGGCAGTTGGTTTTGTCATTTACATTACTTCCATGCAGTCATTTCCTCTGTGTAAATACATGAAGAGCTATCAGAACTGTACCCATTCGATCCAATCCATTAGTGGTCCTCTTCCCAGACCCTGCGTGTTGGATTAGGTCCAGATATAGCCATACTGTTGTTCTGATCTATTGAGGTTTTAACTTCCTCAACATGGCTAATGTAAGTCTTGATTTAAATTGGTTTACACTATCTGGATCCAGCCAGGAAGTTCGAAAGGGGCTTACACATGTGTGACTGTGAATGGCTGTTCCAAGCAAATTGGAACCCTGGTTGCACAGGATTCCGCATGTGTGCAGTGCTTGTGCACATACTTTGAGCCTACTGGCAGACAAGTTTAGGTCCGGGGGAAGGCTTCAGGGTACAATGGTATTGTGGTCAGGACCAGCAGGAACAATCCTGCCTGCCTTCCACTATATACACCTTCCACAATACTTTCACAGCAACTGGGAAGAGATGAAATTAAACTAAGAACCTCCGCTTATGCACCTACAAAGTAGCCTGACCACCATGAATGCTTGCTGCACATGTGCTGTTTCTTATTTTATGTTCCAGCTCAGAAGAACATCTCGGGAAAATCATGTGCAATGCACATTGGACAATTTCACATGAAGTTTAGTGATAACTAACTGGCAAATATGCAATCTATTTTGAAGAATCAACAGATGATTAACTTTTCCTCTTGAACATAAATAGATAATGCAGAATTATCTATCTATAGATAAAACAGTTGGTTGTCACCGTTGGTTGTCAGTGTTGACAATTTTATTCAAAAGAAAGGCACAAAATGGAGTCCTTTGCCTTAATGTGACATGTGAAATCAAATAGTGCCAATTGTTAACATTTATTTTGACTGACTATCCATGGACAAATTGTGAAAGGTACACCAGAAATGCAAATGAAATTCCAAGGTAAACATCAGTTTTTTATTCTGATCCACAACTGGTCAAACATAGTGTTTCATTATTAGGGCAAGAAAACCGATAAGCATTTGCATAGTTTGAAGTGTCAGTGAGGGTTACTTAAAGGTATTTAATTAAATGACTTTGGTTTCAATTGCAGAGGTTAAGAAATGCAGAGCACCCCACCCTCCATCCTGATCCATCAATTATTTTCCATGATTGCTGCTGTTCAAAGAAAAGGAGCATCCATGCTGCCTTCCAACAGAAAAAAAAAATCTTGAACACTAGTTTGGAGAGATTTTTGCCATTTGAAAATGACTCATCTTTTAACAGGACCACTTGGGTATCCCAAGACAAACAGCAAGCCACTAACAACATCATTCCTGGATTAGGGCACAATGTCAACAATATTTGTAGCCCGAAGACCTAATTATAAGGAGGAAAAGTGGAAGAGTGATGTAACCCAAATTCATCTATGTATGACAGGTGACCTCTAGAATCACAGGCGCTGTTTAAAAGGAATGGAGTGCATTTGCCTAAAGCAAGGGTCAGAGAAAACCCCATAGAAATGGATTACTGTTTCTCCATTATTCCCAACCTTTATCCCAAATCAACAGGCAATTCTATCTGAGCAACATCCCTTTCATCTCTCTAAACATTATTTGCTTACACCAAAGCTAAAGCAGTAAAGAAAAATGTTTAGCTATCCATTAGGGTGACAAATGCACAAACACCATCAAAAGACAACCTGCCTCAGCTACTCTTAATTTTACTAAATTAGAGAACTGATGTGGCCTTCTCCTCTAAAATGCATGGTTCAATCAGATGGGGTTTTTCTCCCTGAGCCTAATGCTGTTTAAAGAAATTATCTCCTTGTAGCTAACTAGTTAGGAGAGAAAAAATGCAAAGCTATCCATCACTTCTCGAGAATGAGATAACATTATCTGTTGTGAAGCCTGTTTATCTCTCTTCGGGAATTACAATTATTTTAACATTAATTCTTACATTTCTGAATTTTCTTCTCTCTCTTGAGGCCTATCAGTTCACAAATGTGTTGCTCATCCAGACCGAGTGGCAAATATCTTTCACTTCGTTAACTACATCCAGGATAGACCTTAGGGACCCTGTGTGGCCAGGCTATTATACAGCATGCTTTATGCACCCAGCTACCATCTCATGTTCAAGACACTTGAGTTCAGCTGGTTCAGCCACTGGACCGGCAGAGCAGAGCAAAAGCATAACATGACGATGATGGTAGAGACATTCAAGACATGTAAAGCAAGCCCCTCCCCACCCCAAAGCAACAAAACACCTTTGGGCAATGAAATCCACAACAGTAGGCAAGTTAAGCTATTTTTGCTGTGGCTTCATCGCTGCTAAGCGAGACAGCCCCATCCTTAAACAAAGTAAGGCAATAGCCTCAGGCAGCTGATTTGCAGTATCATAAAGGGAAGGCTTCTTGTTTATTATAACAGTCCTTCCAGAAAAAAGAAGAGGTTATTTTTCTTTTGGTAGCCAAATGACTTGACAACTCCTGGGTATTGTGCACCTAAACTTGGCTGAAAACAAGGATTAAAGACTTGGTAAGGTTCAAGTCACTCGAGGTTCCCTGATCAAAGCTCCATTTGTCTAATTCTGAATGCAAGACTTTTTGCCCCCCCTTTTTTCAAATAGGAAAAGTACACATTTGGGGGCACCCCAATGCATAGCCATGTCCCATAGACTAAAGCATGAAAATGTGAGTGTGTGTGCGTGTAAAAATATGCATTTCTAAGGTGCACATTTTTCTGGAAAATGCACAGTTTGCGTATTGCTCAAGAATATGCAAGTTTTAGCCAAGCAGCGTGTTTCCATTCACATTTGCATTCAGGGTTGCAAATGGAACAAATTCTGATGCTTAATGAACTGGAGTGAAATTATCATATATCCCTGGTTGGCAGATGGATACATAAG